ATTTTTCAGAAGAAAAAGAGGTGGGGTTTGAATTAGTCCCATGTGAATGTAACGTGTTCGTTCTTAGTAGGGCCACATGTTTTAGTTTATCCCGAAGCAATGGAATGACTAATACTCACTACATCAAAAAAATAGAAGATGTAAATTCATTGGAAAATAAAAAAAATACGTATGGCGGATGAAATGATTGTTGCGCTAGGCTATTTACAACCCCGGTGTATTTTGGATGCTTTATAGCACTGCTGAACCGGCATGCATAGGTTCGAATTCTTTTATTCCATAGTATGAACGCCGGATCGGATTTGTCGAGCTCACAAGTTTATCTACACAAATGATTATGATAAGGTTTTTTTTTTTGGGTCAATCTAGAGTGTACATGATATAGTGGTTTAAGTATAATCATCATTAGTGAATTTTAGTAATGAATTAATTACAATAATTGCATTAGGGATTAATTATAGGAGAATTATATCCTTTTATAGTTGAGGAGAGTCGTACACTTTCGTCGGCAGTCGATGTGAGATTGTAGGAGTTTTATTATGACGTTGACAAGTGTAGCATTGTGATTGGTTTCCTAGTTGGAGAGAAACTCTTGTGCTTTGACAGAAGTGCCTCAATGCGAATCCTTCGGTGGGTCTCTAAAGGTATGAAGTTGGCCAATGCTCGATTGTTTTGAGATTGTTAAAGTATGGTACAAACAAAATAGGATTATATATATTTTAGTATAATGCATTTGCAATTATTTTTGTAAAGAAATTGAAAAGGAATATGTAAAAGGCCTATTCCTTTTGAGCTGGATTACCATTTAATATCGATCATTTCCGGTTCCCCAAGATCTGGTTTTAGATTAGTTCCAGCCTTGCTATTCACAGCGAAGGGGAACACAATTTAATTGGGTCACAGACTCGTAAACCTAACCAATGTTGGCCTTGCAACTTGCAAGCATGTATACAACTAAAAGAGTTGTGGTTACAGATTCAAGTTTGAATTGTGGCTGGGGTTGCACTGGATCAAATGGGTAACATGTGAAAAAGCGCAAGGAGAAGAGAAATTCTTAGATAGGATTGTACAAGGAAACTATCTCACACTGAGACTATTGGGTCTAATGAAGAAATACAAGAGCAATCAGCATACTGAGAAAGTTGTTTTATGTGATGGAGTGAACTTGCTTGTCACGGAAGTATATTCATCTGTTTTTCAGTCTCTTCTCGCTCTATGAAACAAAAGAACACGTGATGAGAGACAAAAGGAACAAGGGGATATATTTGCGTTCCAAGACAATTTTTTATTTTATTTTATTTCGTATGCGACAACCTTTACAAAGAATTTTTCTAAGTAATTTTGGAGCCAATGAATGATGAACATGTTTAATTGACAACCAAATTGCTCTAATTCATGTCCATCCAAACCTCACTATTAAATAATGACAATGATCAATGATATTTTATGTAATGTACCATCATTTTAAAAAAAAATTATGCTAATCGTGTCTTCAACATCATATTGAGACAACTACATAAGGAGTTTAAGTAATAGACAAGTTTGGCAAAAGCCTAATCTTATGCCATGATTTGGGTTTTTACGAAGAACATCTTAAATCCCCACTTATATAAGTTTTAAGTAGGGTTGTTTCCATATTTGCCAAAATTGTTCATTGCCAACCTTACCCTGGTGGTTAGCTTAATTAGTCCCATCTCCTTGCCCTTTCTCTTTCACTCTCTCCCATTAATCATCATATTTGCTACCTATCCATAGCGGAGCGAGTAGGGTTTGTGCCCTATGCGTCTAGAGCCGGACTCAACCACCTCATACAATACAACTAGTTACAAACATGCGGTATTAGGCTCGACATTTAAATCATAACATTTTAAACTTGATCTTTGTAACAAAATAAAGTGAGAGGAAGGAAAAAAGGAAAGGAAGGGTGGACCGGAAAAGCTTAGCACGGACGGAGGTGAGTGCGTGTGTGGGGTTTGTAGTAGATGGGGAGAACTGAAGGACAAAGTGAGGGAGGAAGAAGGGAGTAGGATACCCTCCCTTTTTGTTTTCCTTTCATTTCCCTTCTTTCCTATTTAAACGGTCACGGTTAAACCACGTTAATATTTTATATTAATTTTTTTATTAAAAAAAGAAAGATAAAATAAAAAATATGAGAAGATGAGATAGAAATGGATAAAAAAAAAATTTAAACGGTCACGATTAAACCACGTTAATATTTTATATTAATTTTTTTATAAAAAAAAGAAAGATAAAATAAAAATTATGAGAAGATGAGATAGAAATGGATAAAAAAAAAAAAAAAAGAAAAAGAAAAAGAGGAGATAGAGAATCCTAGTCGGAAGAAGAGTTGGGCAAGTTGGCAACTTTTGTTCAAGTTATTACTTTCAACGGTGAGACATTCGGCCACGTCTTGTGTCCCGAGTTTGTGTCAGTTTGGCGTGTGCTTTTATGTCTTTTCAACTTCGAACATCAAGAATCAGTTTCAGCACACTCTTCACTCCAGAATAATGGCGCATAAAAAATATATGTATTCAATTTCTTGTGATATTTTCGTGTTTTTTCTGCTGTTGGTAACATGCTTATGAATTTGGTTGATAAAAATTAGCGTAATGCTAGAAAGAAATTTTAAAAATTAAATGATATAAAAATTAATGATTAAATTATTATTTAAACGTTGATAAACGTACTTATTTCTATTGGTGATACATCATTTAGTTTATCAATTTTATTAACAAATTTAGCCTCCTAACATTAAAGATTAACCAAGACCAGATCATGAAAACAATGCAATACGACATAATTTTCAAGACAAATCCGAACACAAAGCGGATATGTATGATAACACTTACTGCTGCTGCAGATCAACCACAAATTGACATAACATAACAAAAACACCCTTAAAACAACTTACATGTGGTGAATACAAAATTTAAATAGTTAGACTAAAATTTCCAATCGAAATCTAATTCAAGAGACACTAAGCTGAGAAAAATAAGCCGTATATAAGCACCCTGATATGTTACCAGCATGTAGTTTTTATCATTTACATTTTGATTAACCATGTAACTACTTTTGACTTATTAGAGTTTAATCTAAAAACAATGTTTCATCTCCAATGGTTTAGCTTAAAATGTTAAAGATTATTTAAGTTTATGTTAGTTTTTCTTTTCAGTAATTTTTATAAAATAAAATTTATGTAAATTAACCTAATTTATTTTTATGAACATTTTAACTTAAAAATATTTAGATTCTAATAAGTAATGTAAAATCACTAAACCTACCCCCAAATAATTTTTTAATTGTTTTAGCCATTGAATTTATTTTTGGACCGTTACATCTTTTTTACCGTTACATTTGATTCTATTGATCTCAGCCATTGAATTTGATTAATTTATAAACTAAAATAAAAAAGTAAGTTTGAATATGGACTGTTGGGTGTGTTAGTGTACTGAGAAGCCTCGCTCCGGCCCTTCTCTGACAAGGAAAGAAAGAAATAATCTCAATTTTACGACACGATGGTTGTTCTCCACTAACCACAAGGATACAAGGACTCTATATTTCATCTTCGGTGCTATTGCTAGAGTGATGGGCACATGCTTCTCAGTACTGATTCGTATGGAATTAGCACGACCCGGCGATCAAATTCTTGGTGGTAATCATCAACTTTATAATGTTTTAATAACGGCTCACGCTTTTTTAATGATCTTTTTTATGGTTATGCCGGCGATGATAGTCGGATATGGTAATAGGTCTTTTCCTCATTCTGATTTTGTTTTTCGTATCACGGATAGGTTTCAGTTTGGCACGTCCACGCTTAGTGATAGGCCAAAGAATAGGTTTGGCTGGTTTATTGAGCCAAATCTGCCCAAACTTGCTTTAGGCCCTATAGTTAGAGATGATTTTGATGAGCTTATAACCTAAATTTTAGATTTTAACTCAATTATTAGAGTTGGTCTTACAAGCATAAAATTTGACGATCATTATTTCAGTGTATTTAGCCTTTTAGTTTGGATGAGGATCCTCTTTGGATCCTCTTTGTGGATATCTGGAAGATCAATTAATCGTGTTCGTTCATCGTATATGGTGCGGTCAATTTTCGTTAGATACTACGTTTAATTTTAAATAACTTATGACCGTACGATATATGATGAATGTACATAATTTTGATTTTCCGAATTCCAGAAAAAGGATTTGGCTAGGATCCTAAGAGCATTTCCAAATGAGATGTCAAAAGATAAATGTCAAATGTTAATTTGATAATTGATGTGGCAATGTTAGATTTTCTCTTTTTCCAACCGATATGTTTCTTTGTTATAAATGATATTTGTAGGATCCATTTTAAAATGAAATCAATTAAAATACATTTTTCAAGATCTATAATTGATGCATTAATAGGAGCCACATAATAAAATAATTTTAAAAAATTTGACATCACCTTTTCTCATATGTCAAATTTGGCATATGAAAACTCATATGTCATTCCACGTAGGATTGACATATCGATTGAAGCTCATTTCTACTTTCAAATTTGATTACATGAAATTCCACATAGGTTTGACATCTCCTTTAGAAATAGTCCTTTTTAGTGTTCGGTAGAATGAAGAAAAAAAAAAAAAAAAAAAGAAAGAAAGGACGAAAGAAATGAAAAGAAAAAGGGGATAAGGATGACTTGACGCGCCATGAGGAAAGTGTATTAAACAGTGGCAGTTGCATCATGAGAATCTGAGATTGATTTCAATCATCGTTTCAGCCGGGAGTGCACGGCTACTCCACAGTAACCTCTCTCTCTCTCTCTCTCTCTTCCCTTTCGGTTCGGCGCTGCTTTTGCAATCAATGCACCACCCTCCTCCAGACTCCACCATATAAATATTCAACTCTCTCCCACCTCTTCTGTTCTGTTCTGGTTTTCTTCACTCTGATCCCAAAGCTCTAATCTAGGCTAAGAAATTTCAACAAAAAGGTAAAAAACTCACTACCCTTTTCTCAATTTTTCTCGAACAATCCAATTTTATTTCTAATTCTCAAATGTTTGTTTGTTTAAACCATTTGCTTTCCATTATCTGTGATCAATATTGCTCATCTCTGTTTGCTTTGAGTCGAAATTATGGGTGATTTAGAGCAATAATCACTGACTAATCAAAGATCTGCATGTACAACTTCTCTGTCTATCTGCACTCTAATCCATATACTTATCTTTTTGGGGTTTTGATCTCTATTGGTATTGGGTAAGGGAGAGAGAGAGAGAGAGATAAACATCTCAAATTTCATTTTTTTGGTGCTTTGCTTTGTAAAGACTGAAACTTTTACTGCATTCTCATAGAAAACTAAACATTCCATTTGATTTTGATGGTTGTTTGTGATATTGGGTTTTTCTGCTTTGTTTGCCCTTATGAACGATCATGTAATATTTGAGTGATCTCTTATGCTCAAAAGTTTACGGATTTTCTTTGATATTTTCTTAGGAACCAAACAAGGATTAACCCTGTGTATGCTTTGTTTGTTTGCTTTCATTCTTTGTATGATAAATAGTTATACCTAAATGATTATGTTATTTGACAAAAGAGCATTCCTCTCGTCGTTTTCCTGCTTTTTCAAAGTTTGCTTTATCTCTCTCGGATTTCTCTCTGGTGGTAAAACAACAGTTCGTAACTTTGTACCAATTTCAATATTGCCTTTACCTCTCTCTCTCTCCCCCTCTCTCCTCCTCCGAAGTAGTCCGTTGACCGGACCCTGTGCTTTGTTGTTTGGTTGTTGTGAAAGTGGAGGTAGATTTAACATGTACTAAAAAATTCCAAGTTGTCAAGAATATTTCTTTCTGGTTTCCTTAATTGGTATCCACTTTAAGTCAGAAAATCTTGATTGTTTCTTAATGTTCGAGTAACCTAGTAACAGTTGGGTTTCTCTGAGTTTGTTTGTTGGTATACATAATTGGGCAAGATTTTCAGTAGTCATATTGTTCTTCTGGTTTTTGCATCTCAATGTAGTTCTGTTTTATTAAGAATCTTTTAAGTGCCATGTTTATTTTTCTTGTGTTATTGAATTTTGATGAATCTGAATCTCATAGTTGGCAGAATACAGGGTAAATTTGGTGTTTTTATGGTGGCATTTCTCGGTTTTGTGTACCTGATTTTCTGTTTTTTTGTGTCTCGATTAGCTTCTATTCGTTTTAGCAACATTCTAATCTATTTTATATAAATCAATTTGCTCAAAATCCTACCACTTGGTTATTATCAGTGTGATTCCTCATGAAGGGCAATAGGATCTGGACGGCCTTTTTAAGTATTTCTGTTCCTTGAAACATGGAACTGTGTTTTTTTAATACATCTTGTTTGTTTTGTTTAGTTCTTTACAAGCAGAAGCAGCCATTTTTGCATTATGTGTTGCCAGAGATTAAAAAAGTAATTAACTAATGTCTTCTTGTTCTCTTCAGCTAGTTTTATTATCGATTCACGTTACATCCACGGACTGCATTGACCAAGATAAAATGACCTCATTTTTCTATATGGGCTTGTAAAATGGCTGGTGGTTTGGATGTGTGGGAATCTTTGGTATTTGGATATTCATTTGCTTGGTTGACCATTTTTGGCAAATTTCAGAATTTCATGTGCGATCTGGTTGGCTAAGGTAGGACTTATCCTTTATTAAGTCAGATGTCGTCTATGTTGAGCTGAGGAAATGGGGGGTTGTGTTTCGACTAGTAGTCAGAGCACTCGTAGCAGCAACAGCAACAGAGAGGCAGTGACACCCCCATGCTTGGGGATTCAATTTAGCGGTCGAAAGAGAACGAAGAAGACATTCTCTGACCATGCATATACTCTTCAGAATTTACACACCTTGCCCAACCGCATTTTTACCAACGGAAAGAGCCAGACTTCTTGCATATTCACACAGCAGGGCCGCAAAGGCATAAACCAAGATGCCATGCTTGTGTGGGAAGTAAGTTTCTCCTCTGCAGTGGGAATGCTAATTGAACATGTTGGTAAGATAATTTATGATTTCTGAACTCTTGATTTTATATTCTTTTGAAGGATTTCATGTCCGATGATGCGATATTCTGTGGTGTTTTTGACGGCCATGGTCCACACGGCCATCTTGTTGCTCGCAAAGTAAGGGATGCGTTGCCAATGAAGCTGCTATCCTTCTTGTATTCATACCAAGGGTCCAGTAAAACGTGTTTCAAAGGGAACCTAAAGAAGTCAGATTGTGGAGATACTGAGAAGGATGGTTTGGACGAGGAAAAATTGAATTTATCATGGAGAGACGCTTTCCTTAAGTCATACAAAGCCATGGACAAGGAGCTGAGGTCTCATCCTAATTTGGACTGCTTCTGCAGTGGTAGCACTGCTGTCACTCTAGTCAAACAGGTACGGCAGCAAACACCATCTGCACTCTTAATTTTGCCTATTTCGTTTGCTTTGTTTTTGATCGCTTCACTTTTCAGGGGTCAAATCTTTTCATGGGTTATATCGGGGATTCCCGAGCAATCCTGGGATCAAAGGACAGTAATGATTCCATGGTGGCAATCCAGTTAACTGTTGACTTAAAGCCTGATCTGCCAAGTGTGAACAATATTCTAAATTTCTTGTCACTGATGCTTTGGTTGCCTTCTTGTTATTTGAACCTTACTTGGTTGATGCTTATGTAAATGTCATAGGGGAAGCTGAAAGAATTAAACGGTGTAAGGGTAGGGTGTTTGCTTTGCATGATGAGCCTGAAGTGTCTCGAGTATGGTTGCCTTTTGATGATGCCCCTGGTTTAGCTATGGCTCGAGCCTTCGGCGATTTCTGTTTAAAGGAGTATGGAGTGATCTCAATTCCTGAGTTCTCACACCGGATACTTACTGACAGAGACCAGTTCATTGTTCTTGCTTCTGACGGGGTAAAAATTTCCTCTTTGATAATATCCTATTTCGATATTCTCTATATTTTGTTTCAATATTCTCTATAGTTTATTTCGATATTCTCTATGGTTTCTTTCAATTTTTTTTTGTTCTCTTTGGTTGGATGTTTGTTGATTATTTCTACACGGCACTGCTGGCTTTAATAATGCAAAGAAAGTTAAAAATTCACATAGTAATTGTACAACGATGAGGAATATCCATTTGCGCTTGAAATGGCTTACAGGAACCGAATATGAAGTGATAGAATTACAGACAAGTCACATTTAAATCACCAAACATGATCAAGGAGTGTCGATAGTTCTTATGAGATGTAAAGATCCAGTGATAAAGTCCAAAGCATCTGGATTCTAAAAACACGAGTGACAAAAGAGTGCTTACATCTCAGCATGTTCTTGTACTGTGTACATTATAGTTTAATGAGGAATGAAATATCTCCTGTACCTTCCACACGAGCAGGGGTTGCCGAATGTGAAATTGTTCAGACCTTTGAGGACTTATTAATGTCCTCTTTCCTTGTTTTCTCTATGGAAAGTTTAATCCCTTAAAATTTATATAGGGAACCTAAGGCAAGCCGGAGATAACAGATCGGTATTTATAAGTGATTGCTGCGCACCTACAAGAATGCTCTGCTTATTAATGTCCTGCTTTACTTGTAATTTATAAGCTTGATTGTTGATAGTGTAGCATGGCATTTGATGTGAAATATAGTAAACCTAAAATTTCGTATTTAACTTCACTCGATGATCTTTAACTTGTATATTTATAGGTTTGGGATGTCTTAAGCAATGAAGAGGTTGTTGAGATAGTCTCCTCAGCCCCAACCCGGGCATCAGCAGCAAGGACTGTGGTTGACTCAGCTGCTCGCGAATGGAAACTCAAATACCCGACTTCAAAGATGGATGACTGTGCAGTCGTTTGCTTGTTTTTGGATGGGAAAATGGACTCGGAATCTGATTATGAGGAACAAGGCTTTTCATCCGCAACCCTTCAAAGCAATCACTCCGGCAATGCAGTTGAATCAGATGATGGCCAGAAGTCGGAGCCATCTTTGCAGAGGAATTTCACAGTCAGGTCATCTGATGAAAGTGATACTCATGGTAGACTACCGGTTGAGATTGAAGGGAATGAAGAAACAGTGGCAGCTGAAGAGAACTGGTTGGGTTTGGAAGGCGTGACACGCGTGAATTCCCTCGTTCAACTTCCTAGATTTTCCGAAGAAAGGCCTTAGAAATTGTGATTCAAATATAAACGAAACTGGCTAGCGTTTATTGTATTATGGCATCTTTTTGCCTCATTAAAATCCAAAAGATAAATCTTTCTGGGTTTCCATTTCCTCAGCATTTGTTGCAGAAGGCACAAAAAGTAAGGAAACTGTTCTCTTCAGGTAGCTGAGGCAAATATAATTCTCTGTGTCTCTAAGTTTTATGTACATTCTTTAGTCCAGATCAGATGTAGATGCGGCCTATATTTTTACGTTCCACATTTCTACTGGAATTTCATGCAATACATTGCTCAGCCGAACGTCTACGTTTAAAAATGAAACCATCGTATCTGACGGTTGAAACGATCCCGCAGCGTAATGTACGTACGCAAGACATTGATGCATTGTGAGATTCAGCTATTGAATCGTTCAAACCCATTGCCGCCTTGTCTGACTCCATCTACTTTTTGTTGCTCTATATCACCTAGTTTGACTCCATCTACTTTTTCGTCTAAAAAGTTGGCATGTGATTCTAAAAATTCTTTAAAAGATAAGACATATTTGTCAATTTGTCCCATAAACTTGTATAGAGGTGTTAATTTTTCTATGAACTTTAATCTTAGCTGACTATCTCTGAACTTTTATAATTAGCCAATTCCCTTTTGAACTTTAATTTTAGCTAATTACCCTCTTGAACTTTTGTAAATAGCCAATTTCACCCATGCCGCTAGATTTTTTTTCGTCCAATTTTTTATCAATTTTGGTCACATGGACAACACATGACAATTGCATAGAGGCAAAAAGAATGAAAAATTGGATGGATGAAAAATTTAAAATCTAACGCTAGGAGGGGGAAATTGGCTATTTATAAAAATTTAGGGGGTAATTGGCTAAAGTTAAAGTTCAAGGGGAAATTGACTAATTATAAAAGTTCAGGGATAAACGATTAAAATTAAAGTTTAAGGGAGAAATTGACATCTCTATATAAGTTCAAAGGATAAACCTACAAATACCTCCAAAAGATATTTTGAAGTCTGAAATATCGATACACCTTATGTTTAAAGAATCATTTTAACACTGGCAACCTTTTGGACAAAAAAAGGGATGAAGTTAGTCGTAGGTGGCAATTACAGCATCAAAATTGAGGTGACAAATTACTCAATTTTCCAATTTAAGTGGCATAATTTTGCAGCAATACCTAACATATAGGTGCCACTTGTAAAAACTTTCCCATGGCAGATAACTGATACAACAACAATAAAGGGGTAGATGGAAAATTGCAATGTGGAAAATGACCCCATTAAATACCTTGTCAGTGAAGAAAAGGAAATACCAAACCAGAAAAAAAGTATGTCTGCAAAAGATAAAGATGAAACCTTAAACGGTGGGCTCCTTTATAGTTCAAAGTCCCAGTGCTTTCAATGTTGGCAGCAGTAAAATAATTTGCAGTTTATGAACTCCAAAGCGACAGTGATATTGTAAATTAAGAAGATGAATACACAGAAAAAAGCAGCTGAAATTAATGGTAACTACTCTTTGATTCACATTCACAGAGGAATGTAGGCAGATCTGCACATCATTAATAGCCGCAGGAGTTGCTGGAATATAGAGGCAGATTTTAATACGTTTAAAGTATAACTCAATCTCGGTAACTAAGAAAAAACCCCCTGAAGTTTTTGAACTTTACATCAATATATATTACATTTTCAGCGGATCCGATTCACCCAATAAATTCTTTTGAATATCGGAGCGCACATTAGCCGTTAAATTCTACGATGTATATCATATATCGGTGTACTGTACATCAATGTAAAGTATACATTACCTTATAAGCAGGTTACATTCCCCAGTTATTCTTCCCTTGAATATCAAAGCATACATCCAATCGTCAAATTTCACAATATATGTCATACATTGTTGTATTCTGGAATTTCGCAAGGCCGTGGTCATTTAATTTTAACCAAACACTACCCAGTCCTTAAAAGTACATAAAAATTATCGACCTAAGAAAAACCCAACTCAATGACTAATCATCACTTCTCTCTCCATGCACGTATACATTTGTATATCTCCTCTCTATCCATGGCTTCTTAACTCACCGACAAACTGTTCACCCTACTTGCCAGAAATCCTCAGCTATAAGAAGAGCCCTTCTTCTACATTCAAATCACCAAGCTAACTTCAGCAAGACCTACCCTTCTCTCTCATCTCTCCCTCCCTCTACCATTGCTCCGATAATGGCTTACAAAATCCGCCTTTCGTTCTTTGCTCTCATCTCCGTTTCCGTTATCCTCCTTGACCTAGTAGGAGGAGCAGCTGCTGGGCGAAATGTGCCAACAATCTCCAACACAGATGACAAGAAACAACCTCAGTGGTTACTTGACCATGACGGAAGTCTTCTCATTCCTGGCATTGGGCGTGTGATGCTACCACCACTGAAACATTTTGCTCCATTCCCTGGCATGGGCAGCACCGGCAGCACTGGTGGAAGTGGAAGTGGTGGAAGCCCGAGTAGTAACAACTATGTTCCAGGCGGTGATGACACATTCGTCCCAAACCCCGGTAATGAGGTTCCAACCCCCGGGAATGGTGGCGGGAGCACTCCAGTTGCTCCATATCCCTGAATTCGTTTCCAAATGATCTTCGAATAAGCGTGCTAGGTCACGATTCTGTATCAGTCGACTAGTTGTATGTGTGTTTTTCTTCTACCGTCATTTATTGTTTAGTTTGAGAGAGCTAGATTCTTGAGAGAACAGCATGCTGCTTTTCTAGCTTCGAATAAAGTAGTTAAGTTAATAAGTCTATGTTTTGCTGTTTTTATGTTGCACTTCTGATGCGAATCAATGAATGCTGCTCAGCAGTTGTTATTCTCTTTACTCTTTAGCCATGTTTTTGTGTCTGCATGCGAGAGAGAAAGGGAAACTTAAGGGATACTTTGAATGTGGTCCTTAATTTTTAACATTCTTTGATTAAAACCTTAATAATATCAAAGTTAGATCAAGGTCCCTCGACTTTGTAGACCTCATTATATTACTATTAATACGGGAAGTGCTATTGAAACTCCTATTTATATTTTTATAGTTTTGACATTCATTGTTTGATATTTTATGAAATTTATATTCCTATAAATTTAAAATCCCTCATTATAATACTATTAGAAACGGTTACAATAAAAAAATTCAAACATTTTGATTGAATGAATGGATAAAAACTACGTAAAAATAAGAAATAATAAATGGCAAAAGAATGTATCCATAGTGTTAAAAAAATTGGTACATTTTACAAAAAAAAATTGGTACATTTCACATATAACAAAGTGGTACATTAATAAAGAAGAATGGGTACATTATAAACAAATTAGGGTACATATAAAAGATTAAAAATTATGAGTACAAATGAATTTTTAAAAATATAGGCGCTAAAACAAATTAATACATGGGTACGAAATAAAACTAAAAAGAAAATACTACAAATTAAAAAAAAATGTTTCAAATTAAAAGTGGGTACAAACTAAAAATATAAATATATGATACAAGGTTTAGGCATAAAACATAAATATACCATATGTAATTTTTCTATCATTGATTAAATATACAATGTCACGTGACGATATACACATGAGTACAAACACAAATAAAACTTTAAAAAATATGGGCACAAAAAGAAACTAATATATGGGTACAAATTAAAAATGAAAATTAAATTGGTACAAATTAAAAAATATTTGCAAATTAAAAATAGGTACAAACTAAAAATAAAAATATATGATAAAAAATTTAGCCATAAATATAAATATACTAATTGAAACATTTTTAACACTAAAGGTTATTTAAAAATAAAAATATTTTATTATTTAAATAATTAATGATGTTATTAATACCCAAGAACCTTGATCAAAAATTCAAAATGAATAGGATTTTAATCAATGGAGTAATAAAAAGAAAGATGTAAACCTAATTTTCCCGAAACTTAATTTGCAAGCAATGATTTTCACACTCTCGTTTTCTCGTTCTGATTTATTCTCTATAACGGCCAAGAAAAAGGAGCGCAAAAGAAGATAACGTGAGTACGGATATCACTTCCCCACTATTATTCTTGCGGTGGACAAAATTTTTATGAGGTGGACCTATAGCAGATGCAACTAGACCTACTAATTAGAAACAAATTACACCAGAAAAGAAAAAAGAATAATTCAAATCGGACATTAATTAAATTTGGTATGAAACCAATTGACAAACACCATCTAGTACTTAATACAAAGACATAATCCATCATCTTAATTCATATATGAATATTACACTTAAATACATGTGTCTGTTCCCAGAAATAGAGGCCACAAAAAGCAACTGTTTCTAAATTACATTCGATCAAAAGGGAACATGCTTTGTTTTTTTTCTCCGATTCACCCTAACACATCATGAATCCGACGATGCCAACACCCGTGAAGTTCTTCAAGCTTGGACCTGAACCTGTCACATAATCCCCAGATATGTCACTAAACGAAACAGCTGCAAGGGCATAAACAACAGCTAGGTACTAATCAACAATCCTAAAGTGAAACCTGCATATACTTCTAAGTTGAAATCACAGCAATGTTCATTTTATCGATTGAGTGCTACGAACTTCCAACAACATACCGAAAAATGTTCAGAAACAAAACACACACTGGTTTAGATATAACCATAAACGATTTGACACAAAACGGCATTTAAATCTTCTAGTGAATTTTATCTGGAAGTTGATTAACTTTCCAAGCTGATTGTATGTTAATCCCAGCCATGTAAATCTAAGGAACTGACAATTTCATGATTTACTTGGATTCATAACAACATGTGCACAAACTTACTATTTTTGGCATTAAACAGCCATATTTATGCCTAGAATAAATTCCACCACCAACCACATATTTTTCACATTGAACACGCCAATCATCAATCCAACAACTACCCAGATGAGAACAAATTGCAGCTCCACTGATACCAGATTTCATTTCGGTTTCCATGCATTCAAAGTCCTGTTGATTCCTCTACCTATCCATTCAATTACAATTACAACCGCGGCCTCGCCTAACTAAGTTGGCTAGATCAGTGTGCTTCCCCGTTTCCACCCAAGTTTGAATCCCCGTCCCCCTATTTTATATTGGATTAGAAAAATTGCTCAAGCTACATCCAATTGCATCATGGATACATATTAAAGGCTCAACTTTTATAATTAAGCTATCTATTTAGCCGCTCCTTCAATTAATTATCAGAAATTTTTATCTTTTTCTTACTCAAATCAACCAAAACGGGTCGAACCCACAACAATCAAGAAATCGCAAAGCAAACCCATTACACGAATTGCATTCAAAATACCCAAAATTGACCAAGCCCATCAGGGAAATTGAGAAGAGGGATTAGAGGATGGACCTGATTCGAAAGAATGTGGGTGTCTAGAGATAGAAAGAATCCGATGTAATCTTAAAGATGATGAAGCAGAGGAACGCGAAGAATATGGAGAGGAAGAGGTAATCGACGAAGACGAAGAACTCGGTTGAGCCGTGGTTCCTCTTCTTCTTACTCTTCGCGACGCTGGGGTCCTTGGATTCTTGGTGCAATTCTTCGACCTTCGCCATCGTTGTTTTCTGACCCGGTTCACGCGGGCGAGGATCTAAAAGGGGGTTCTGGGATCTAGGTGCAAGAGATTTTTCAGATCCGGGGTTCGATCTGTAATTTTTCAAATGTTGGGTGTGCTGCTACATGCTAACTTGTTTGAGGGAGGCGGAGGAGGTTGGTTTCGGTTAACGCTGGTTGAATCCCGCGCGCTCTGTGAAGTCTTGGGAGGTCACGTGTACTGCATGTGATGTAAAACAAGAAATGGGCCTTTCAAAGCCACATTGGGCTACAAGGGTGGTCGGTAATAACCACCAAATATGAAAGGCCCGTTCGGTAATAAATGACCGAACTATAAAAATTATTGCGGCATATATGTGAAACTGCGATTCATGAAAAAATGAAGCTCATTCCGAGGAAGGAGCCAAGCAGTGTTCTCAAAACTTTCCGAAAAAGGCAGTCATTTCAACTTCAACCTCGAACAAAATCTAGTTGCAAAATCTCAATCTTCTTACCCATCTTTGTGGCACTATAATTACAAGTACACAGTTTCTCCAAGCTGCAACATGAGTTGCAGTACCTGTTGAAATTTACAGCTACTCCAATACATATACATAGCACGAGATCGCCAGGGAGATCTGACTGAATTTGAGAACGAATATAGAACACACCTGAGGGAAAAATAATTCTTCGTGTCGTATGTGTTTGGTTAGGATAACCAATAATTGTTGGTCTCCCAAGCTAGCTCATGCTGCTTCCTAGTATATGGGGGTTCTGCACATCCAATGGATGACAATCTCCCCTTTCAACGAGTATGTTACTCGCACTTATAGTATCAGATTTTTGACTTCCACACCCTAATGGGGTGGAAACAGTGGCTGTGTTGGCTGTAGAAAGCCGTCTCATTACCATGCTTTTCAAAATTTAGTCCTGCCCACGGAATCACAAATTCATTATTTGACGAATTCATAATTGGACCTAAACATGTATTGATATTCTGAAATAGGCCCTTCACTGACCGCTAACGTGGCGTACCTTTGAAGAACTGCTTGACGAAGAAGCAGAATCTGCTCCGGAAGATGCCTCAGATAAACTTGAATCTGCCTTCTCATTTGAATAACTACCCAAAGAAAATTTAATCAGTGAGAGACGATATATGCATATGGAAATTAACATGCATACAAAATAGGGCAGATTACACTTCTCAGAGTAGCGGTTTGCACACAGAAATTCTCACCACATAAAAGAACTAAGATTGGAGGCTTACGTTGAGAGAATAGTAACCCAAATTAGCTCCACACAGTCCACCCAAAGAAGCCTTTGTTCAACAGGGATCAGGCCATAGGTAATGACATGAGCGAATGGCCAAAGCTTCCATCCGGCCTGTCATGCCAGTTGACTCACAGATATAAGTAGGTTACAACTTGTAACATACCAAATAAGCCTGTATTCGCTAAAAACTCAAACCACCACAAGCATTTAGATCAAATACAACGTTATAACAATTTCTACTTGATTTTACTTTCTAGTTCCCCTTGATCTTTGTATATACTTTTTTCAGGTATAACACTAAGCTCTGCTGGTACGATTGCATAAGTACATGTGAAAGAAGCAATTCTACTGTTGGTGACCCATTAGCTCAAATTTCATCTTTTAGCTATACTTTTGTACTTTATGACATATTTTGTTTATCTGTTATTGTGATATGAAATATTAATAAACTTAAGCAGCATATGAAGCAAAACAAGCTATGATAACTGAGTCAGAGAACTTGACTCAGATACAAGTGAACATTCCTCAAGTGTTTTTACAGAAATCCAACTCCATCTGGCAAGAAAATAATCTCGTAATCCATTCAAAACAAGCAAAAGACAATCACAAAAACAAAAACAAGACATGCAAAACTGATAAGGAAGATTTAGAAGAGTTTCTCACAGTCAGCATGGGCACAAATGTAGCCCTAAGTTCATCAAAAATCTTGGTTGGGGATTCGAAACGCAAGAACCCCAAAACCACAAAATAGATGCTGTTCCAAATCGCTGACCACACTGTTTGATCAAAGGCTATTTTGGCAGGGACAACCCACCAATCCTCCAAAGGAAAAAGAGCCTGAAAATCAGAGTCGATAATTTTAGCCATTCATAGAAACCCATCAAACAAGCTAGAAATAAGCAAATATAGACCAGAACCAACACCTCACAAAATTGGTAATAATAATGGGAAAGAGATCCATGGAAAGTAAAGCCAACAAGGCCTGATCTGAACATGCGTTTCCGGTCAAACTCCAAAAGCGGCTTCCCTTCAAAACACTTCACATACAATAGGAAACAACTTAGAAGCCACAAACACAAGTCATGATTGAGATGAACTTTATCTAATCTCATCTGAAGAGAGACTTACTTGAGCAATCCAATCTCCTAGAGTATAGACAACCCCACTTATCACCATTTTGGCAAAAACAGGATTTGCCTTGAGAGCCTGTTCATATGCAATCCAATTGTGTTCCGGTACATATCTTAGTATCTCATAAAGTGTCCATCCCTGAAAAACGTCTCGAAAATTAAGCTTTGAAATCCAAAATACAACAACTTACTGAGGCAACCACCTTATTCAATATAGACAAGAAAAGAACTCGATTTTGATTCAGCCCATCATTCAACCATGTATAGGTTAACTTATGAAGTATTAAGGATCAACCCCGTTCCAAAAACAAAGCTGGAAACTTTAAGCAAATTACCAAATTAAGACAAAAAAGAAAACCCTTTAAACATTCTGCAGCTTATTTGCATCAAAATCCATGAATTCATA